ATGAATATCTGCAATTGATAAAACTGATAAAATTTGTTTTTAATTGCGGTATAAGTAGAAAATCTTTAAAAGAACCAGATAGAGCGTACCTGCTAAAACGATACTACACTATGACAATTTTATTACACAGCATTCTCTTAAAAGATCCCTCTAAGGCCCATATCAGTTTTCTATGTTAAAGTGTTATTTTTATTACTTGTTAAATCTAAGGCATCCCTGATAAATCCTCCTAAGGCTTCCATCAGTTTTCCTTATCAAAGCCTTGTTTCGTAAAATCTAAGGTATCCCTGAAAGCTCCATCTCAGCGCCTAATGTGATAATAATAATGAGGCATCCCTTTTTAGGGCATCCTATTTTCAATTACCTTATCGGGGTCCTACGCTTCATGAGGATGGCTCTAACAATTTTTTGCTCGGGCTCTTCGATAATCCGACTTGCGTTAAACGCAAGCGAGAATAATTCCGCGCGGCGCGCCATAATCGCTTGACTTCTCGATTGGCGCGACGCGATCGCGAGAAATCGCCGATTCCGAGCGACGGGGCGAAAGCACTCGATGGCTCCTTGAATTTCTGACCTGGCGAAATCGCCGTTCGCCATCTTTCTCTTTTCTCCTCCCCGCCGTCCTCAATCTCTCTCTCTCTCTCTCTCTCTCTCTACCTGGCTCTCGTTTCCTCTCTCGCACGTAGTTCGCGTTGTATCGTCCTCGCGGCGATCGCGCGGCGCTTTCTGCGAATGGAACGGCCGGCGTGCTTCCTCAGCATGCAGTCTCGCGCTTTCGGCTAGTTTTCACCTTTTGGCAGTCGTCCCCCGCCGCTCCGCCCCGCCCCAAGCACTCGGCTCGAAGAGGAACCACCTTTGTGCGGTACTTTCGCGCGGTACGTCCTCCCGCTCCTCCTTCGCGTCCCTCGCGTTTCTTTTATTTCCCTCTCCCGCCCTTTTCCGAATTCCTCGCTGGCGCCCCGCCGCGCCGCGCCCACCCTCTGTTTTCCTCATCCTTGTCCTCTCACTTTGCTCCTCCACCATCTATTCGCTTTGGCACGAGAATTTATAAATCGACGCTTTCTCCGTCGTCGACGGCGCGCGCTCCTCCTTCGCGGAACGAGCGATACGCACTTCCGGGCGGCGCGTATTACGCGTCGCACTTTTGTGACTAAGCCCCAAATTGAAATTCCATTAAAGTAGACTTCGTTCGAGATCAACCGGGGGAATATGATTTCGTCATCTATACGTTGTCTTCGCCGCCGCCCATCTATCTTGCCGTTTCTCCGCCCTCCCCTGCTCCTGCTTTCCTCATTTGAAACTTACTTTGCGAAAAGCCCTCGCTCTCCCGGAAGCTTAGAACTCGGGAACTGTTCGTGTCTCATTTTCGCTCGGGAAGAATCGAAAGATTCGAATTTATAATTGAATCCGTCGTCGAAATTAAGCCAGCGCGCCGCGCCGCGCCGCGCCGCGCCGCGGGGCCTTTCCGTCTCCCGATAATGACGACAGAGACGAGAGGTGTATCACCTGGCGCGTGATGAATCGCTCTGCGACGGAGTTTCGTGCGCATGCAGAGGAAATGACAACGTTATCGCCGCGAAATTCTCTTGTCCGGGCCGCATTAAAACGGCGCGCTGATAAGGCTGCTGAAGAGTGAAATATCGCAGCTTTCTTTCTCCACAGCGACGCGCGCGCTCGCGACGGTTCTTTCGTTTTTACAGCCCGCACAGCCCTTCGCGCGAGCTACGTCCGTATCGTACGCGGAGACGGCAGCAATAACTCGAATAACGGCGGAAGATTGTCGGAGTGGCGAGTCTCTGGATAACAACGTTGCTCGCCAACGCGACTCTCGTGTCGCGCGAGTCGTTTCGAAGGAGTAGATGGACGAGGAATAAATCATTCGTAAAAACGACATGGGTTGCGTGAAAAGTTCCACCGCCTTGGGATTGCCTCGAAATCGTCTCCTTTTTCCGCGACTCGCCGAGCAACTCGCTCGCTCACTCAACGTGTGTGTGTGTGTGTGTGTGTGTGTGTGTGTGTGTGTGTGTGTCGTATCGTGCACGCTTTGTCCTGCGAGCAATCGGAAATTATTTTTCCACGGTTTGAGCGATAGGACGAACGAGACATCGGCGTGATTAATCGCACTCGCGTTCGATGTTGATCCGCCTTCGAGACGAGGCATTTATCATGGAGCGTTTATCTCAGTGAAATGTTCACTCGCGCGCATTAAAACATAAATAAAGAATGAAATAGCGACAGGGTAAGGAGTAAGGTCCGAGATAGGGGGCACAGGGGCATGGGGGATGGATGGTCAATTGCTATAATTTTGTTAATATATGCTAGGCCTCAACGTTGATCGGTCAGTTGTGAGTTGGATGTACCACACGAATAGGTGTGTCTCTTACTGATGCGCGAAAACACTGTTATTGTGAGTAAATAAATGTTTTATGTTTCTATTAACCCTTTGAGGCACTTTTATTTTTCAGAAAATCCGAATCATACGAAAATTTATATTTTCGGGGTTTCTGGGGTCGCTGATGACGAATCCGTTACCAGATTTTTGAAATTCAAGATGGCGGACGTAAGAATGAAAAATCGCGATAATTTCGGTGATAATGGGTATTGTGGGGTCTTTGGAGGTCGCTGATTACGAATCCGTTATCAGATTTTCAAAATTCAAGATGGCGGTCACAAATATGAAAAATTAACTAACCAGAAGACAATGTCAGGTAAATATATTAGAATTCCACGATCCGCCAACTTAAATCTGTAATCTTGTACAATGAGTTTTGGACCTCGGATTCGTAATCAGCGACCTTGAAAGCTAATCAAAGTACAATTTCAGCTAATCATATAAAAATTTTATGATCCGCCATTTTGGAAAATAAATTTTAGAATTTGAACCTTAGATTCGTAATCAGCGAGCTCAAAAACTAACCAGAGTACAATTTTAACTAATTTCATGTACATTCTATGATCCTCCATCTTGGAAAATGAATTTTGGAATGTGGACCTCAGATTCGTAATCAGCGATCTCAAGAACTAACCAGAGTACAATTTTAGCTGATTTAATAAAAATTCTATGATCCGCCATCTTGGAGAATTAATTTTGGAATTTGGACCTCAGATTCGTAATCAGCGACCAAAAAACCCCCAAATCTTGATTTTGAGCAAAGAATTCACTCATAGTCTGTGGAAAGTGATTTTTTTCTGCAAAAATGTGTATTTTTCACACTTTGTTTATTTATAATAAATGGACAACTTATGCAAAACACTTTTCAACCTTTCATGCATATTCCCATATCATATAAGAAGCATAGAAGAAAAAAACGCAAAAAACCCGACAAGAATTCCTCAAATATGAAATATTTCATGAAAATATAAGAATAAATAGGTGGTAAGTATACTTACCTACCACTATGCCTCAAAGGGTTAACCTCCAAAATGTTTCACAGGTCGGAAAAATATTTTGCGGATACGGTTTATTTCGAGTTACAACATTAGACCTGGGCTTAAACGACTAGAAAAACGTCGTATTTGCGTACTTAACCTCGAAATTCGTCACCGAGACTACGTTTCACGCGGTACACGCATTTTTACGCGAACTCTCCAAACGGGATAGATGGTTCATTTTTATCAGGATTAGATGAAGGATAGCCTATTCAGCAAGAAATAGCAAGCAATGGGCATCGGATCGACGTTTTCTAGATGCTTTAGAGAAACGTATAAAAGACGTCCGATATCTGTTCGACTATCACTTTTCCCCGGGTATGTAACATTAAAAACTTCAGTACATTTTAGACGGTTTCTCGTTTCGTTTAGAGATGCCGAATAGATTTCTCTCTCTTTTCTCCCTTTAATAAACAATGTTTTCTCATAGGGCCTTTTTTTGTGTCGTCATTTTTCAACCTTCTCTCCAATGTTGTCCTCGGTTTCTACAAGAAACTTGTGGAAATGTTTTATTTCATTAATATTTAATAAAAGGATTAATAAAGAGATTAATAATTAATAAAAAGATATAAAATCCAAAAAAGATGAAGATAAACAAATTTCTATGTTATTATAGGCATACCCAATTATACCGTACGACCATCTATCCCTCACAGAATATTTCTAATATTTCGTTATTATCGGCGTCCCATGAAGTTTTTTCTTTCACAAAAATCCTTCCGTATCTTAAACATTATCCTCTACTGAGTGTGTTAATATGTTGTTGGTCATTTATTGCAATAATATGTGTTACTCCCAATTAAAAAAAGCTATGTCCATCTATCCCGTACTTCTCTCTCCTCTCTCTTACCCTACGGATGGGAGTAAACGAAACTCTGGCTCCTCCGACACGCGAGGCTTCAGGTCAACGTGACATCCGTTTTCTTTCGGAGAATCCGCGTGCTCGCGCCAGCATCGGACAAATCGAAGCTTCGATCGATCACGGTGGCCGCGAACGAGAAGAATCGCGAGAGCGTCTTCCTCCGGCGGATCTCGCCGGGAGCGAGATTCACCCTCCCCCCCCCGCCCCGGTGTCGGTCGACGTTCAAGGATCAGGGAGCGAGGAGGGCGGAATCGGCAAGCGGCTCCCTCCGCGCCGCGCCGCTCGATCGCGCGGGCTCAGTCGACAATTTTTCAGCGCTTCTCGTCGCTAATGTTCTCGCCGGAGGAACATCCTGAGCGCAACCACCCCCGACCAAGTACCATCGCCGCCAACTACCAGCAGCAGCGCGTCGCATCCGCCACCCCTCATTCTCTGTGTACCGGCCGCGTTGTAGTACGGACGGACAGACGGACGAGCGGTCGGACGGTCGAACGGTCGGACGAACGGACGAACGGACGGACGGACGGACGGACGGACGGACGGACGGACGGACAGACAAGACAGACAGATAGCAGCGACACGAAGAACAACCCTCTCACACCGCAGCGCTCGCCTCCCTTCCTCTTCCCGGCACCCCATCGGAACTGCGACTGCGCAGAGCGAACGGCGCGAGGCGTCGGCGTCGGCGTCGGCGTCGTCGTCGGCGTCGGCGTCGGCGTCGGCGTCATGCCGGGGGCGTCGCACCATCGTCGTCGGCAGCGAGCGTCTCGACCGAACGTCCTCGTCTCCCCAGGCCAGTACCAAGCCGGGCCCCGTCGTCGAGAGGGTCGATCCACTTCCTGCTGCGCGCTCGGTGCGAGACGGTGAACCGGTCGTGGCGAGGCGCGACCGAGAAGGAGCAGCGACGCGGACTCGGGACGACCAAAGAGAGAGAGAGAGAGAGAGAGAGAGAGAGAGAGAGAGAGAGAGAGAGAGAGAGAGAGAGAGGGAGAGAGAGAGGAAGAGAGAGCGAGCGCGGCGCGGCGCGGCCGCGAAAGGGAGACGACTCGCATTTGCGGTGATCGCTGGTGCGCGCTGCTGATCCGCCGTGTGTATGTTCGCGCTTTCGCCGGAAGCACCGCCGAGGCTGGCGAGAGACAGACGGAGAAAAATGGAGCGCGCGACGGCCGGCGGATCGATCGCGATATGAACGGACCGCCGCCGACTCGAGGAGGACTCGAATATACCGACCGCGAGCGAGCGGGAGCGTCGCAGGCAGTGTGTGTCTGATGATTTAACCGGACCGAGCGAGCGGAGCAAGCCGTCGCCGTCGCCGTCGCCGTCGCAGAGGGTCGTCTGTCGTGTGCGGTCGCCATTGAAACGCACGCACGCACGCACGCACGCACGCACGCACAGGTGGAGAACAGAGCGTCGTCGCGAGCGACGTGCCGCGAGCGCGATCAGTCCCGGTCAGTCTTTCTCTCTCTCTCTCTCTCTCTCTCTCTGTCTCTCTTTCGCGATTCTGCGTCGCGACGCGCCGGAGAGGAGGGAGGGACAGAGAGCAGCCGCGGTGTGTGGTGAAAGTGCTCATCGCGTGATTAGGTCGAGGTCGTGTCGCCTGTCGCTGGGACCCTCCGTCCGGTGTGACCTTCGCCAGGTGCCGGAAATGAGGCTCGAGGTTAGGTGACATCCCTCGCGATTCCCACGGACTAGCGCGCGACACTCTCTCTTTCTCTCTTTCTCTCTGTCTTCCTCCCTGTCTGCGTCTTGGTCTCTCGGTGTGCACGACGACTCCGGTCGTGATCTCTCGCGGAGAGTAGCGCTCGCTCGCACACCTTCCGTCACACGAGCAGGCCCGCGGTGAAAGTGTGTCATCGACGCGGCGCGGCGCGGCGCGGCGCGGCGCGACGCGCCTCGACTAGGCACTCTCCGGCGGCTCCCTCGTTGTCGTCGTCTGGCGGATTACGACGCGCGCTCAATCGGACGGTTCTCCAGGGAGGCCGGGGGACTTGGCGCTTCGCGCGGCGATGATCTCTTAAGGGTCGCTGAGTTAGTTTTCCATACCTGGTGGCTCGGTCAGTGCGAGATCGCGCCGATCGCGAGGCGCTCGCCGGTGTGTCTCTCACGCTCCGGGTCTCTCCGGGTGCCTGCTGGCTGTCGCCTGTGTGAGAGACACCTCAGGAAGAGGAGACTGTCTCGCGAGTTGCCAGCGAAATCGACGCTCGTCCTTGGGATCGCTCCTCCCGGTGAGACTCATCGAGGTGCCTCGGGAGAAGAGGCACCTCTCGATCTCCCTTTCATTCCCACCGCGAACGAATACGACAGCTGCAGGAGCGAGCGGGAGGTGCGCGGTGGATTGTTCGCGTGTTCAGTGCGCTTTCGGGGTGCTTCTCGGCGGCGGCGACGGCGGCTGATCGACAGATTCCGACCGCATCCAGCCGGCTGACCGAACTTCCAATTCAAGACGTATCTCCGAAGATATCGATTTTCACCGAGACGATCGCGACCCGCCGCCGATTGCGCTGATCTCGTTGGATACAAGACGCTGAAGAAGAGGGTAGACGCGCGACCACTCGCACACGAGTCATCCCTGGAATCTACCGACACGAGGACGACGAGGACAGAAACAAGGACGTGTTCCCGCGGGATGCACGCGTCCGGCCGCACGTAGTCGACGCGCGGCTGCGTCGGCGACCTCCCGAGACGACAAGTCGGGCCTGAAGGAACGCTCCTCCGGGTTTGTCGAGTGGCGAGTTTAAGAGGAGTCGTTTCGTCAATCGGAGCCTACACCTATTTGCGCGGCGGAAGAGAGCCAGAGGGACGAAGAGAGAGAGAGAGAGAGAGAGAGAGAAGGAGAGAGAGAGAGAGAGAGAGAGAGACACTAGAGGAGAAACAGTAAAGGAGAGAGAAAGAAAGGAAGAGAGAAAGAGAGAAGAGCATCATCAGGCACGAGCCAGCTCGCTCACAAACCGCGAGTATCACACCCACGCGAGCCGCGCGTGCGTGCGTCTCACGTGTGCGAATGCAGCCGGGTGGCACAACGTGGCGGTCACGCACCCACGCTCCGAGCTGCTCCGCGGGATGCGTATGAGCGCGTGACGTTATCGCACACACACACACACACACACACACACACATACACACACACATACACACACACACACACACACACACACACGTACACTCACATGCACACACTTGCACACACCGACACCACCTGACACACGGACGCACAGACAGACAGACAGACAGAGAGCCGAGCCGGCAGACACATCGACGCGTAGCACCCACGCGTAACATACACAGCGACACGAGCGGCCCACGCGAAGCACGGACGAATGAACAGGATCTAGCGGGCAGTTCAGAGAGTAATCATGCATCCCTCGGCCTTGCTGGTGGTGCTGCTGCCGCTGCTGCTGTTGCTGCTCGAGCGCTGCCAGCTGGCGCGGTCTTTCCTGCTGGAGGGCTCGGCGACGAGCTACGCGCAATTTCGCAAATGGAACGCCGGCTTGAACGGCACCCTGGAGTTCGAGTTCAAGACCGAGCAGGGTAACGGGCTGCTGCTGTACACGGACGACGGCGGCACTTACGACTTCTTCGAGGTGAAGCTGGTCGAGAGCGCGCTCAGGCTGAGGTATAACCTCGGCGGCGGTGCGCAGATCGTCACGGTCGGCCACGACCTCGGCGACGGCCACTGGCACAAGGTGCAGATCAGCAGGTGCAACGAGAACACCACCCTGACGGTGGACGGTGTTGGCGCGGTCTCGACGTCGCGCGGCAAGGAGTTCGAGTTCGGCAAGCTCGCCGGGAACTCGGACGTCTACGTGGGCGGCATGCCCAGCTGGTACAACAGCAAGCTCACGCTGCTGGCGTTGCCGAGCGTGATATTCGAGCCCAGATTCAATGGATATATTAGGAATCTCGTGTACGCCGATGGCGAGAATACCGTGCCCAGGAGGCAGGAGATGAAGAGCCGGGACGCCAAGGTATGTTGCACTTCGCGTTCGGTCGCAGCCAGCCAGGCCCGAGTCTCGCGCGCGTCAATTTCCCCGCGAGGCGGCCTTCTCGACGTACGCTCGCGACGTCTTGCGAGCCGCAGGTTGGCTCCGGCGGCTCGCACAGTGGGACCAGATGACATTTTCTGGTTCAAAATTCTCCAGAGACCTGAATTTCCAAGCGATCATCGACATCAGGTTGGATGAGATTGGATGAGGTTGATCCTGAATTGAAATTCCAAAGAGATCTGTCCAGCCGAAATTTTGAAGAAATTATCGGTTCAGGGTTCATGGGTTTAGGGTTTGTCTTAAAAGTTTCGAGGCTCGAACTTAATGTTTTGTAGCTGAATATTCAACGTCAGGTATTATTAGTTCTCGAGCTGTGGCTAGATTGGGTTCTTGGACTATTTGGGACTCTTAATATTTACGGCTTCATGCATCCACAAGGTAAAAAGTTCTCGGATTGATAGATTCCTAGGTCGACGGGCTTAAGACATAAAATCCCTCGGTTTTGTGCTTAAAGGGTCCGTATTTGATGCTTTTGTATTTTGGGCATAAGAGTTTTGGGTCAATGGGTTTCTGGTTCAAGATCGATAAATCTCGAGGTGTCTGTTGATTGGTTTTATAGTTTCAATCCGTTGAATACGCTATTAGATGGAGATAAGTGTATTACATAGAAATAAGTGTCGAATAATGAATATTCCACAAGTTTCGAGTTTAACGATAATTTTTCCTCTTTTGGGGCTAGTAACTCGAGAAAAAAATTTTTTTTAAATTTTGACGAGACAGATCTCTTTGGAATTTATTCAGGATCAATCTCATCCATTGGTGTCGATGATCGGTTGGAAATTCAGGTCTCTAGAGGATTTTGAACCTAAATATGTCACCTGGTCCCACCTGTGGTTAGCCACCAGTTTTCAAATTTGTCAGACTCGCTCTGCAACTTAAATTTTTTCTCTTGAATGTACAAACAATTATGTAACGCGAAAGCGGCAAATATTAACCTTCGAATATAAATTGACGATTGACCTACGATTCTCAAAGATCTTTTATCCTGAAGAAACAGTTTGTAACTTTGGACTTGCAATGGGCTGCGGTATCTGTACGTACTTGCATCGGATATTTGAGAAAAAGGATTCAATACCTTAGGAGTAGATAGTACTCGCAAAATGGAGGAGGAAAGACCTAATGAACATGGGTCAAAAAATTATTACAATATTGAGCTAAACAATTATTCATTTTAATTGAAGCAAGTCGCTTGCTCGCTTCTGATGCATGGCTATACGAGGGTAGTCCCAGAAGTACCTGACCTAACAAAGAAAACACAAAAAATTTGGGAAAAAATATCTTTGATTCTCTACATAATCTCCTTTTAGCTCAATATACACTTTTCCCAGCGATGTTGAATAGCTTCGAGACCCTGTTTATCGTGGGAATCGTCGAGCTCCTCAAAATAGCCATCAAGCCACCTTGGTCCATGGTTTTGACTGTTCCTTCGTCTCAGATGTGAAGTGATGGACCCATGTTTCATCCATGCTTATGAATCGACGCAAAAACTCGGCTTTATTGCTGCGAAACTTGGCCAAACACTCGATTGAAACATCCTCACGATGCTGTTTTTGTTCCAATCGCGGCACCCATCTTGCACCCAGCTTTCTCATGTCCAAATTTTCAGTCAATATGCGATGTGCAGCACTTTTTGAAATGCCTACCATGTCTGCTAACTCGCGCACTTTCAGTCGACGGTCATCCAATACCATTTTGTGGATTTTCTTCACCATTTCTGGCCTGGTCACCTCATTTGGTCGACCATTGCGATGCTCGTCTTGGCAGCTCGTACGGCCTCGTTTAAACTCTGCCACCCAATATTTTACTGTTTACTGTTGTAAACGAAGGAGCAGACTCCCTCAGAGTAGAATTACAAATTCACTGAGAGCGTTCACTATTGACGGCTGCCAAACAAATACTAGACAACGTAGCGTCGTCAAACTTCAAACTTAAGCTTTATACGGTTGGTACTTTCTACCATAGTCATTCTTTTCAAACAACAACCGCTATCTATATGTCAGATCAGGTACTTCTGGGACTACCCTCGTACGTGAAATGCACTTTTCCGCCGTTTCTTGATTACAGTAATACAATGTCATTTTTTTATCGTATTGTGAAAATTTTGTGATGGCTTTCTGCAAATGTTCACTATTCACGAAGACATGCGACTGACAATTGAAGCGTGCGCATAAATAGGAAGAAAATAGATGTTTGTTACATTCCGAGCGAGAGCGAAGAGACTTTTCTCAGGGCTTCCTTTAAAAAGCATGATACTCCTCACCGATAAATAACAGGCAAGTTACATCAGAGAATACAAAAGCGAGTAGATCGCTTGCTTCAATTGAAATAAATAATTGTTGACAAGCTCGACAGTATTAATTTTTCGATCCATGTTTATCGGAGCTTTCTTCCTCCATTTCGCGGGTATTATCTGCCCTTAAAGAATCCAGAACCCTTATTCTTAAACACCCTGTATAATCTAAGCGAAGAATATCGATATGTCAGAATGTGCGACTTCAAAGTTAAATGGCGTCTCATGGCGGAGGGTTAAGGTGATCTGCTAATTATCGTTTATTAATTTAATTATCTGCTAATTATCGTTTATTTTTCGCTTTCAGTCCGCGTTCTATTTTTCAACGTCTTGTCCGCATTCTTTCGCGGACTGCGTTCATGTGTCTACTTTTAATGGACATTCTCATCGCGCTCTGTCTGTAATCTCGTTCCGCCGTTTCGCCGTATATAATCACGCGCGATGAGGCGATTAAACTCGGGAGGAACAATTTTGCAGCAAGTGCTATACTCCGTTTGTTGGAACAACAGAAAGATAGTGCTTGACGCCGAGAGAATGACTGTGATTTTAGTGAAATTAACCGGCTTTTTCTGTCTGTCTCTCTCTCTCTCTCTCTCTCGCGCGCGCTGAAGAGAGGAGAGGGGCGATGAGAAAATCGAGCGAGAGCGGACAGCGCGAGCGTCTCATCAAGAACGCACAATTACGCGATTTGTATAATTTTAACGAGACGCGCGTCTCGCGCATCGGTCTCGGCCGATCCTGCGCCGTTGCTTCCCCCGCGAGTTGTTTCCGACATGCGCGCGATCGAGGGAAAGGGAGGAAAGGCCGAGATGCGGGGTCGAAGGTCGCCGAAGGTGAGATTGCCTAGGGCTGTTGACTGTTGACGAGTTACCGGACAATTTGACTCGGTCCCGACAGCCACAAATCTCGCGGGCGCGCTCGGGGGGAGGGGGGGGGGGAGGGGGGAAGAAAATCGGCGACCTCCGAGAGCGCATCGTCACAGCGCCACGCGAGTCGAGCGGAACGCACACGAGCGGTTGCGGCCGTTGCGGTGTCGTTGACCGTGTGCAACACCACGCGAGCGTTAGCTGAGTCAGGTTCATCGAGAAATTCCTCCTGACGCGAACGAAAAGCGCGTGCGCCCCGTCAGCACAAAATCGAGACTTTCCCTGGCCGCGGATCTCGTACACACAGGGGACTAAAAATAAACCTTGCCGTTTATACGGAGGAGGGGGTTGCTACCCCCGCGCCGCTTTATCGCCCACTTCCGACGATCGATACAATCCACCCAGCCGTTGTCCGGGAGGGACATCTTCCCCCCCTCCCCCTCCCCCTCCCCCTCCCTCCTCCTCCCCTGACTTTCGTAATAATTAACAAACAGATGATCCGCCCCGCCCGGACGGGACTGCCCCGCTTCTTCGATCCTTTGTAAAACGCCGCGCACGCACGGGGGTGTGTCGTCGTCGATCGTTTGATCCCCAGCAGCCTGGCCGCTCGTTCGTTATTTCGCTCGCAATTTCTCCCGCGCACGCGATGTCTACGATACATTCCGTTTCGATGTGTCCGCCCGGCCGCGCGCCGGCACCCCCGTGGAATTTACTACGCGTTACCGTAGAAACTAAGCTCGGTTCATGTTTCCGCAGATGGCCGTCCGCCAAGAATTCCGCCGTCTCCTGCTCCTACTCCTCGGCTCGTGCTCCCCGCTTTGTCCGGGCATCCGCGGAATTTTGTATCTGCCATTCTGAAAATAATCTTGTATTTAGCCGCGAGCGCAAGCGCGCGGACGCGCTCGCGCTCGTTACTCGCGACGATGTGTTCGCGGTTCGTTGGTGTTCGGGAGATTGACGGCTTCGAGCCGAGACGATGTCGGAATAGATGGAAAATATCGAACGTTCCTTGCATATCGCGAGTGTTTATCGCGAGCGCGCTCGCTGAGAGAAGAAAAGACGTAACGGAGGGAGGGAGGGAGGGAGCGGAGAGTCGCGCGCGCGCGCGCGAGTCTTCTCGCGCAAACTGCGAGCCAGCGAAATCGAGGGAAACATCGAGTCGGGTCTCTGACTGGCGCAGAGGTCTCGACTGGAAAATTTAGTCAAGCTCGTGAGATTGGGGAAAAATCGAGCCGGGCGAAGCCCACGGACGTGGAAGTTGGCGTTCGCGAAAAAATGGAATCGGTCGCGGAAAGTTAACGAAATTAAAACTCGAGTGAAAATCGGCCGAGGGGCGAGCGCGGAATCGAATAAAAATCGAGTCGGATCGGCGATTCGACGCTTCGAATTGAAACGCTGCGAGATTCGGCGGACGTCGAAAGGTTCGTTTAACTCGATCCGAATTGTTCCGATCGATCTTTATTCATAGTGTATACGCATAATCAAGAGAGAGAGAGAGAGAGAGAGAGAGAGAGCGGCTTCGCTGTGTGCCGCCTCGCTCCGGCCTCGGCGCTTGCTGCAGCTGGCCGCTGGGATATGCCACACACTTTGAGAGAGTGCGGGATATCGCATTCGTAAATTTAGTCACCTCGCGCTGCTCGATTGGCCGCGCGTGGTTACGACGGGCGCGTATCCGTTCGCGATTAGATAAGGCGACAAATCGAGAATATCCGTCAGGAGGATCGCCGTGCGATTACCGGTGCAACGATGTAACTCGCTGGACGTTA